TAGATAGATAGATAGATAGATAGATAGATAGATAGATAGATAGATAGTTGGACAGATAAGATACTTTCCTAAACATTAATTGTTGATTCTGACATGGACTTGGCATTGGATTAGCGGTGGTTTAAACTTGAGAGGAAGAAAATAAAAGTTGACTGTTGGAAATAAACTTTAAAGAAACTATTTGGATTAAATTGCTAATTAGAAAGTTGTAAAATGGCGATATCTCTTCTGGCATAAAAAATGGAACTTAGAAAAACAAAAGACATACTACAAGAACGAGGTGAAGTACTGGGTTTTGCTTTAAAATTTATTGAAAATGCGATTGCAGAATATGAACAACAAAGACAAAAGGCAGAAGAGGAGGCAGAGCGAATTATTGAAGGTCCATCTTTGGTGATCATCGAGAACAAAGAACTCTGGAAAGAAAGAGGAAAAGAGTTGGAAATAAATACAGGAGATTTAAGAAATTTAATAAAAAGGGGAATATCCGAAAAATTAAAAAAGGGGAAAAGAGTCAGCAGAAATTTGAAGGGCGGAAGGAAGCTGTAAATAGAGAGGGGGATAAAAATTGGAGTGAAAGAATAAAAGAGAAAAGACAAGGCGAAAGAGGGGACAAGAAACAGGATTTGGGGAAAAAGAAATATGGGAATTATTTTTAAAAATGGGGAAAAATTGCTTAATGAGACACAGAGATAATGGGTGATTAATATTTAGAAAGGGGATTCTGCAAAGTATTGAGGGGTAATATAAACAAATTCATAGTTATGAAATAGGGACATAGATTGATAAGATGGAAAATAGAATTGTTATTTTTTGATACTGGAATTTAATGCTCTTCTTCTGTATGCATAGAGATAATTGTAATAAATAATGTAAAAAGCTTATTAAATATATTGAAATTTTTAGGATTGGAATGTTGGTTTTTTTGTTCAAATATGAATGGAATAATTAATGGAATATGTGTGTATTAAATATATTGAAATAAATGAAATTATATAGGAGGAGAGCTGAAATGGAATTAACTTTAGGGTTTAGGATTGTTTTATGGTTTGAATGAGTAGATTAGTATGTCCTTCTTTTCGGAAAAAATTAATGAAATTAAAAAGGGGAAAAACCATGCAGAATCTGATTTATATATGCTATGTAGTTTTAAAGGGATTATTAAGTTTAATGTTTTTGGTAATGATGTTAAATGTTCAATGGGATTTAAAAGGGGTGAAAATCAATGAATATGTAACTCAGAGGTGGCACACTTATATTGATATTTTAGGGGAGAAACCAATTTATAGATGAAGTGTTTTTTAACTAGAATTTAAGATGAAATATACAAATGTGACAGTTAAAAGTACTAAAGTATAAAGATTATGAAGTTAACATAACGTGAATTAAATAATAAGTATTTGGAATAATATGATAAAATAATGTATAAAAACATTGTTAAGATAAGAAACTGGATACAAAAATTGAATGTGTAACTATGGTCATATTTGTATGTATATGTGAAACCTGTAATCATGCTGTTCACTAAAAAGAGATGTTAAAATGTGGAAAACCGAATAAAACTTGTTTTTTAAAAAAAGATATTTTCCTAACATGTAGTGCAACTGACACCCAATTCTTCGCCCGACTTCTACGGGATCTCGAACGATTCCACCCCACCCTCCCCGAATGCTATCGTAGCCTCTAACGGCACCCGGGGGAAGCAACGCTGGTGCAGGATGTTTCCTTTCTTACCGGAACCTTTGCTGCATCCCAACCCCGCAACTCCGGCTGCAGGGGGTCCACGGAGACCAAGCCGACCAGCCGCACTTCACAGGACAAGCCACCGCGTCGCAGGTCACCGTGCCCTCCAGGCAAACGCTGCGGGAGGACGGAACCAAGGTTAAGCATATCCCCTTCGCTTCCGATTCAGGGGTGCCGGGGGAACAACAACGGGGTGTGCGTGAAGAATGTTTATCCCGTGTGATCCCCTTTTGACAATGGGGAAACCTGATTCGCTTAACAACAGGGTTGCTAATTTCACCACGGCAGGGATTCACTGAACCAAGGCGGTGAGGAAAGTCGTAAAATGGGATGACCCTCACTTGACCCTCATGTCTCGCTTAGTGTCAGGATTCTGGCAGTTCCCCCCCCCATTTAAATCAGGAGTCTCAAGCCAAAACTTCCAAAACTTCCAAAGGATTTATGGGGAGTTAATATGTCTGGCGCTGCCTGGGTGCAGCCAACTCTGAGATACATCGTTCCTTGTCCCCCTTGACCCTGGTTTCCCCCCACTCTGGGTGTGTCATAAATCATATTCTCTGAGATACATCCATAGCCAAGAGTCATCAATCATGTTTCTCCAATTAGGATTTTGAACCTTTAGTTTGAAACTAGGTACAACCTCTGAAAAACTATGTATGGAATGTGCTTTCGGTTTCCAAGCTGCCACACTGCTCCCCCCTCCCTTTCTGTTGGCAGCTCTTAAAAGACCAGAGAGATATTTTAGCAACATTCAGACTGCCATCTGTCAGAAATGCTGTAGCCCTTCCTTACTCTCCTTAGTTGCTCTTCTCTCCGCCTTTTCCCAAAGTCTCAACCTCCATTTTTTTGTAATATGGCGAGCAAAACTGGATGCGGCGTTCCAGGCGGGGCCCTACTGAGGTGTTATCCTTTCATCCTGGGAGGGATCCCCCCCCAGCCCTCCCCATTTGGGAAACCTCAGCCCCCCCACACCATAAAATTGCCTCCGACAAGCCCTCCCTTCTTTTAGGCACACCGTTATTCTAGAACAGCAGTCACCAATGGTGGGCCGCAGCCTCACTGGTGGGCTGTGAGAAAATTTTGGAGGGCCGCAGAGAAATCTCACCCCCAGAGCACCCCCCCCAAGCAATTAATCCAGTCTGCACAGGAACACAAGGCTGCCCCGCCCACATGGCCCGCGGGAACCCTCCCCGCCCACTCACTCCTTACCCGGCAAACTTGCCTGCTAAGTTGCTATTTTTCCTTTTTTTTTTCCCCCTGACCATCAGCTGTTCTACTGTGCCGGGAGATTTAGATTAGCTAAAAAGCAGGAAATGGTTGGATTTCTTGCTTTCTAGCTAGTCTTCAGATCTTCGGCTCTGCTTTTAAGTACAGCCGAACCTCCCTTAGGACTGAAGGTTCTATTATTCAGTGCAGACTCAGGTAGCCAATGGCAGAAAGATCTAAGTGTGATTCTGGGCACAGCTCAATCTGCCTGCCTGCTTTGCCTGATTTTGGGTAAAAGTTACTCTTTTTTTAGAAAAAAAATCAATATTTACATACATGGTGTGATGCAAGTTAATTTTGGGAGTCTGCTTGCTAGCAAATTTTATGAATTTGCTTGCAAACAAATTTTATGTGACAGACTCAGGCAGCCGATGGCAGAAAGATAGATCTCTGAGTGATTCTGTGATTCTGTGAGCAACTCCGTCTGCCTGCCTGCTTTGCCTGCTTTTGGGTAAATGTTGCTCTTTTTTTAAATAAAAAAATCAATATTGACATAAATATTTATAATAGTTACATACAAGCCATGCCCAGCCAGTCACGTGACCACCAAGCCACACCCAGATTAGACCACACCAAGAACCATTTGTTAAGGAATTTGAATCCCACCCCTGTCTCTGTGTGTTCGTGTGTGTGTGTGTGTGTGTGTGTGTGTGTGTGTGTGAGAGAGAGAGAGAGAGAGAGAGAGAGAATGGTTAGATCAGATCTCTCTCTCTCTCTCTTTCTTTCTTTCTTTCTCTCTCTCTTTCTCTCTCTCTCTCTCTCCCACCAATGTCAGCAAGCCACCCTCAGTTCAAATTCATATTAGTGGTCCCCGGGATTTAAAATTATGAGTTAGGTGGTCCCTCAGGCCCAAAAGGTTGGCAACCCCCGGTGTAGAACAGGGCAGGTCCGCAGAGAAAGGGACGAAGGGAATTGCTCACGCTCACCACTGACTGCAATTGTCCCGCAGGAAGATCTCCCCTGGGCGACGGTGGTCATGGTCGAAGAAGCAGTGGCACTGGCTGACGTTCACGCAGGCCCCCTCCTGGAGGAAAAGGCCAGGGGGGCAACGGCAACCTGTAGGCAATGGAGGGATGTTATCTACCTGGGAAGAAGGGCTGCAAAGGTGCCACCCCGCCACCACCATGCCAAAGACCCCGGGCTCGCTCACCCTCTACGCAGCTGCTCTGGCAGGACCTCTGGACACCCAACTGGCGGCAAGTCTGTGGGCAAGGATCCACCAGGCCGCGGGCACAATGCCCGGCTTGCACGAACACCATGTCCGGACCGCAGTCTGCGGAGGAGAAAAAAAAAAAGAGGATTGAACTGTAGCTCAGAAGGGAGGAAGCTTCTCTGGATGAGAAGCAAAACCATTTCAGATTTTTTCCCCTTGAAGTGGTTTCGCTTCTCATCCGAGAAGCTTCTTCCATTCTGGCGGAAGGATCAAACTGTTACTCAGAGGGGAGGAAGCTTCTCTGGATGAGAAGAAAAACTTTTTCAAGGGGATGAAAAAAAAACCAAGAAAAGGAGCAGAAGTAACAGAAGGAGAGAGGCAGAAGGGACCTCAGAGGTCTTCTAGTCCAACCCCCTGCTCAAGAAGGAGACCCTTACAGAATTATGGAATGACAGAGAGGGAAGGGGCCTTGGAGGTCTTCTAGTCCAACCCTCAGTTCAAACAGGAGGCAAAGCTTTGAGTGCGCCATCTTGCCTTTCCCCCCCACCATACTGGATGGACACCCCTGAGAGGACGGGAAGGGAAGGAGGTATTTGGGATCAGACACCCCCTCCCCACCTCCTGCCTTAATTTCCTCTTGTTCCTCTGGTTCTCTTTTGCTAATGATCAGGAGGATCCCAACTGAATAAACAATAATAATTTATAAATAAGAATAAATAAGAAAGAGAGATTGAGAGACAGAGAGAGAGAGAGATAGAAGATAGATAGATAAATAGATAGATAGATAGATAGATAGATAGATAGATAGATAGATAGATAGATAGATAGATAGATAGATAGATAGATAGAGCAATACTGATAGATATAGACATGGAGATAGAGATGGATGGATATAGAAAGATGGATAGATCAATCAATTGATAGATATAGAAAGAGATAGAGAGATATAAAGATAGATGAGATAGATAAAGATAAATAGATATATAGATGATAGATAAAAATAGATAGATAAAGATAGATAGATAGATAGATAGATAGATAGATAGATAGATAGATAGATAGATAGAGATAGATAGATAGATGGATGTATATAGAGATGGATAGAGATAGATAGATATATAGATGACAGATAAAGATAGCTAAAGATATAGATAAAGGTAGATAGATAAAGATAGATGATAGATGATAGATAGATAGATAGATAGATAGATAGATAGATAGATAGATAGAGGTATAGAGATGGATAAAGATACATAGATGATAGATAGATAGATGTAGATGTAGATGTAGATGTAAGCATAGAGATAGATGGATGGATGAATAAATGGATGGATATAGAAAGATAGATGGATAGATAGGTAGATGGATAGATAGATAAGATAGATGTAGATATAGACAGACATAGAGACGGATGGATGGATATAGAAAGATAGATGGAGAGAGAGAGAGAGAGAGAGAGAGAGAGAGAGAGAGAGAGATGATACACTAATAACATAACATCTCATAACATAACATAATAGAATACATTTTAAATATTATAAAATATTATACATACATAGGCACATATAGAGATATACGTATACACACACACACACACACACACACACACACACATATTATATAATTGATAAATAAATAGTAATAATTTGGAAGCGATCAGACCCTCTCCAAGCCAGCCAAGACAACTAAGCCTTCGGCAGGGAGGTTCAAGGTTCAAAAGGCAACCCCGAGGGATTGGCGGCCATTGTTCTCTGGGCATGTGCACAGTGCTTCCCCCCCCTCAAGAGGGTGGTCCTAGATCCCCATTTAAATTTCTATCCCTGTGATACTGCCCCATCCTCAGGGGTGGGTTTCCATTTTTTTTTGTTATATGCGGAAATTTGTCAAAAATTTCCACTACCGGTGCACCAGAACTGGTCCGAACCGGCTGAATACCACCTCTGCCCATCTGTGCCCCTTCCACTCAACATCAGACAAGCCCCCCCCCCCTGCCACCTTCGCTCACCCCGGGCGTCTCCGCAGGGCTGTTGGTTGCACGTCTCCATCTGGACGGCATCTCCAGGACATAGCTGTCCACTGTTCTTGGGCGGGGGATCAGCGCAGGTCCGGGTGCGACTTCGGACACCGCCCCGGCACTCTGCATCGCAATCTGACCATTCGCCCCAGGCGGCCCAGGCTCCATTCACTGGTATAGAGGGGGGGGGAAAGCAGGAGGAAGTAGCGTCGTGAAGACCAAATGAAGAAGTCAACTCCTCGAGTGACAGCCGCGATGGTGCCCGAAATGCGGCTAAAGGAAACATTGGTCAAGGACGTTTTGCCCAGGGCGGGTATAGGCTGCTACCAGTTCGCACCGGTTTGGGCAAACTGGTTGCTAATTTTACCTCTAGTTCACCGAACCGGTAGTTGCAACAACTGGCTGGCCCACCTCAGACCGCCCCTCCCAGGAGTCTCCATGCGGCCCGTTTTGGATCCCAGAGAAGTGCAGGGTTCCGGAAGGCTGGGGAGTGGGGAAATGAGCCTCCCGGATTTCACCCTCCCGAGCAGTGGTCGCCCACTGGTGGTCCATGAGAAAATGTTGGTGGTCCGCAGAGAAATGTCACTCACCCAAAGCAATTAATCCAGGCTGCATGGGAACACAAGGCTGCGCCACCCACATGGCCTGCGGGAACTCAAGGCTTGTGTCGCTTGCATTGCAAGCAACAGGAGGTAGTGAGGGGAGGGGGGAAAGGGCGGAGTGGAGGAACTTGCCCCACTCGCCCCACACGCCTGGCCTGGCCACCGGGCTGCTTCTTTCCACTTCTTTCTTCTTCTGCTTTTGGCACGCTAGGAAAGCAGCAAAAGTCTTTCTTTCTCTTCCCCAAACTCCGCCAGAAATGAGCCTTTGGGACCCTGCAAGGCCTCCTGCTCCAAGAGGCTGCGCCAGCATGATAAGTCTCCTAAAGACTCATTTCTGGCTGAGTTTGAGGGGAGAGAAAGAAAAGGCTTCTGCGGCTTCTGCTGCTTTTCTTGCACAAAGCCAAAAGTCTCTCCTCTCTCTCTCTCTCCCCCCTGAGAATGGAGCTGGAGATGGTCTCCTGCGATCCCAAATAAAGAATGATCGATCAGTAGGAAAAACGGGGTGAGGGATTTTCCTGCAGACTTTTTTGGGGGGGATTTTCCCAGGGTCTCTGCTCCAGAGGATTCAAAATGATGGTTTGGTGGTCCCTGAGGTCTGAAAGATTGGCGACCCCTGCTCCAGAGGCTCCAGGAAAGCCTCTGGAGTCCGGGAAGGGTGAAAACGCACACCCTCCCGCTGTGGTGCAGAAGGCTGACTAGGCCACACCCATCATGGCCACTCCCACCTAGCAGCCTGACAAAGAACCACTTGCTAAATTTTTTGGAAGCCTGTCCCTGGTTTGCCCCCCCACCATTGTACAACCTTTCCTGGCCTGGTTGTTAAACAAAACGTGGTTTTGGTGGAATTCGGAACATGGTCGTTCCTGCGCATTGGGACTTCTCCCTTTTGCGAGTCATATGGTCGCAAGAGGGGATCGTGGCATAGGAACCGATGGCCGAGGGTCTGAATTTGGATCCAGTAATCGTGGGGAAGCGAGGGTCGTAAGTGCAAAAACCGGTCCCTTTGTTCGGTGCTGTCATCGTAACTTTGAATAGTCATTAAATGAACTGCCATAAGACGAAAGGCTTCCTGCATAATGTTCTTCCTGCAGAACGTCTGCAATGACTTCAATTTGTATTTGCATTTATATACACCATTTCCCTGAAAATAAGACCCAACTGGAAAATAAATCCTATCATGATTTGTCAGGATGCTCATAATATAAGCCCTACCCCAAAAATAAGCCCCAGTTAAGATTGTCAGCCAGACAGATGCATTTGGAACTGTATTTCCCCCAAAATAAGATCTAACCAGAAAACAAACCCTAGCATGATTTTTTCGGGATACTCGTAATGTAAGCCCTATCCCGAAAATAAGCCCTCATTCAGATTGTCAGCCATACGCATTTAGTACCATACTTTCCCCCAAATTAACCCTAACTGGAAAGTAAGCCCTAATGCATCTTTTGGAGCAAAAATTAATATAAGACCCGATCTTATTTTCACGGGCCCGTGGTATATGTATATATACGGTAGAAAATATTAGCCTTAATGTTTTTTTCCTCAGAACAGTTCAGGTGGAGGCCAGCTTTTTGCAAAGCCTGTGAATAGGGGTGAAGGGGTGGGAGAAGGATTTGGGGGTAAATCCACCAAAGGTGCACAGGTGGAAGAGAAAAAACCGACCTGGACAGGCTCGGAGAAAGCAGGAGCGACTGTCAAATTCATCGCGCTCACAACGTCCTCCCGGGAGAGCATTGCGGAGAAGGTCGCGGCGCCGGAAGGTTACCCCCAACCCGCAGGACCGGCTGCATTCGCTCCAGAGGCTCCAAGGAGACAGGATGCAGTCCACTGTGGAGGAGGAGGAGGAGGAAGAAGAAGGGGAGGAAGAAGAGGAGCAGCAGGAGGAGGAATGAATAATAGAACGGGAGGAAGAAGAGGAAGGAGGAGAATGAGGAGGAAGAGGGAGAAGAGGAGGACAGCAAGGAGGAACAAGAATGAGAGGAAGAGGAGGAGAAGGGGAAGGAAGGGGATGGAGGACAAGGAAGAAGAGGAAAAGGAAGAGGAGACGAAGAGAAAGAGGAGGAGGAAGGAAGTGAAAGAGGAGAAGGTGGAACAGGAAGAAAAATAGTAAGAAAAAGGGGAGGAAGCAAAGGAGGAGAAGAACAAGGAAGGAGGAGGAGAATGAGGAGGAAGAAGAGGAGAAGGAAGAGGGGAAGGGAAAGAAGAGGAAGAGGAAAAGAGGAGAAGGGAGGAGGAAGAGGAAGAAGAAGACGAGGAGGAATAATAATAAGAAAAAGGGGAGGAAGAGAAAGAGGAGGACGAAGAAGAAGAATGGGAAAAGGAAAACAAAGAAGAAGAGGAAGAAGAAGAATGAGGAGGAAGAAGGGGAGGAGAACAAGGAAGAAGAGGAAGAAGAGGAGGAGGAGAAGGAAGAGGTGGAAGAGCAGGAGGACAAGGAAATAGAGGAAGGGAGGAAGAGGAGGAGGATGAAGAAGAAGAGGAAAGAGAGAAAAAGGAAGAAGAGGAGATGAGAAAGCGGAGGAGGACAAGCAAGAGTAGGTGTGGGAGGAGGAGGAAGAATAAAGGAAGGAAGAGGAGCAGGGGGATAGAAAATAAAGCTATCATGGTTGCAAAATCAGGGCAAATGCCAGCCATACCCTGGAGCAGTGCCCAGTTCAATGCCAGCTCTGAAGTTTCGTAGAGCCCAGATTTCACCAGCACACACCTTTGGGGTGCCGGGCAATGGTGGGATTCAACCGGGTTGCACCCCTTCGGCCGAACCGGTGGTTAAATTGCTGGCTGGCCTCTCCCCTCCCCTCCCCACCCCTTCCAGGAGTCCCCACACACCCTGTTTTGGTTCCCAGATAAGTGCAGGGTGGCCTACTAGGCCCAAGATAGGGGGTGAGTTGGGGGTGAGGGTGCGGCACCTCCCTTTCCCAGGGCCCGTTTTGGCTCCCAGGACGCTACAGGGAGGCCTACTAAGCCCAAAACAGAGTGTGGCCTGTTTTTTGCTCCCAGGAGGCTGCAAGGAGGCCTGCT